CTGTAAATTGTGTGGCTCTCCACTGCAATTCAACAGACTGACTGCTAAGTATAAAAGCGCACAGAAGTGATTAATACCTGGCAGTTAAAAGAGCAATACTAAGAGCAGAAAATAGCAATTCCCCAACACAATTATGTTTCCAAATGATACCACAGTACAGTTCATATTTTATTTCCGACCCCAAGTGGTATGCTTGTAATTTTGTGTTTCTTTACCTGAATAACAGCCTTCTTATCAGCCTTTGGTAAGTTCTTTGCTTCGCGTTCTGCTTCCTCCCATTCCCTCATGACCTACAGCAACAAAACAGGGAGCATACATTTTGAGTTTTCCTCTCATGGCTTAGGCTTTAGTACCAGTCAAATAACATTGTTCAGATAACCATCTGTTTTGCTCCCCTTATAAAGAATAGCTGCAACACTTAACAGAGTCTTGTTGTTAATTTAAAAAGAAGAAATAGATCACTCTGTCTGAACATCATCCAAGTTCTTTCAACTTGAGGTTGCTAGAAGTGAAGCAGTGCATTAACTCTAGATGTTTAACAGACCCTCCAATGTCAACAGAGGAAGTAGAGTTACTAGATTGGCTAATATACTGACTTTTCATCTCAGAGAAAAATAAGAGGTTTAAATCTCTTTTATATCCTCAGTCAAAATGAACAGATTTCGATTGATTCTAAAAGGCATTCATTCATATCACAAACCCTTCTAGCTTTTGATGGAGTACATCAGCTAGCTTTTGATCAGAACAGGTCAAGACTACGTGCAATTTCTGCTAGTCTATACTGTATGCTTGCTGAACACAAAGAAGTGAATTTACTTATGTCCCAAGTACAATATTGGCAGAACAATGATATAAGAAAACTTGCAGAATGCTTATTTTGAATCATCCAAAAGGTCACCTGTCACAGAAACAGAAAGCAATAATCTCAGTAAAGGGAGGCAACTGTTGTTTACATCTCTCATTGTGTGTTCTATATGTGACACTTGAAATCACGGTAAATTGTTATAAAAAACTTGATCTTGCTCATAAATTTCCCTATTTCATTCCTAGGAAGCAATCTGTTAATACTGCACTTTCTGGGCATTAATAAAATCTCTTCCACTGAGCACTGCATGTGCAAGCAACAGTAAATCATGGGTTCCCAAACTGGTGGGCAAAGAGATTCCAGGGGGACCGCGAGACGACCCAGCTCCCCCTCCACCCCCCCCAAAGTTTTGCTGCTATTTTTGTTTTTCGGCCCTGGTCAGTTCCCCCCCTCCCTCAAGTTTTGCTGCTGTTGGAGGTATGAGGTGTGTGTGAATGTTTCTCAAAAATCAAAAAGGGGGCATGATGCTGAAAAGTTTGGGAACCACTGCTGAAAATAAATAAAAAACCCATCCTTTCTGCAAAACCCTTCCTTTCACCCTCCCTCAATGGAAAATGTAGCCTCCATGCCATTTAGAACAGAAACTCATTTAAATACATCTCCAAAGGACAGGAGTAACCTTGTCTCCAAATACAAGTGGTCCATAAAACATGCCAAAGGTGTGCTGACAACTTCTGGGTTATGTAGTAGCCTTTGCAAAACTCCCTTAGCAAAACTTCACTCTCAGTGTCCTCAAGCATGGTTGAGAACAATATAAACCTCCAACAAATACAATCTGTTCAAGCAGGTGTGCAAACCTCAGAAGGTCCTCAATTCTATAAACTGGTGGAAGGACCCTCAAAAGGTGTACATGGGAGTTCCTTTGGTACTGCCCTTCTCACCACAGATGGCTCCCTCATACTTTGGGTTGCACTTTTTCATCACAGGAGTCCATCGTCCACAGAAGATTCTCTGTCTTTGTCCCTCCCACCATAGCAAGGAAACTTCTTTCAATCTTTTCTTTCCTCCACCAAGGAACAACTCTACCATGGAACAACAATGCCTTAGTAAAGGAAACCTACATTTGAACCTATGGGGAATTGTTTCCTTTTTCATTTGTCCAAAAAATCTCATCCCTTACAGCCATTACTTCCACCTAATCCAAACTAGCTGTATGCCTCGTGGAACTACCACCTATAATTACTTAAAATGTACCTGTCTGTAGTTAATATATCTGTTTTGTATTTTACCCCAAATAGTGTGTTTTGGATGAAGTGCTTGAGAAATCTTAGCTCAGGTTAACAATGACTGTTGTATGTCCATCACCCTTTTGACTGAGCGGGGCAGAGTTCTAGGGTGGATGGCTGGGAGCTGGATGGAACTGGCTGGAGCCTACCTGTTGATGGTTCATTCTGAAAAATCAATCATGTAATTCAGGTGGTTGTCCCCTAATTGTAGTGCCTGTCAGAGATTTGTAGTTTGACATGAGCATCACAGTGTCAGAGGTAGCCCAAAGTTAGTGTGTTTGGAGGACTCAGCAGCACTGCAGTTCAGGTAATCATTGGTTAGCCAGTTCCGGGTTCAGTATGCTCTGGAAGCAGAGAAGTCCAGAGTGGCTCCAATGAAACCTGTATATTAAGAGGTGTTAAGATAGACTTTTCCAAGTTGATGTAGAGACCCAGAGAGTGAAACAGAGAAAGCACCTTGCAGGTTGCTGTGTGTGCTTTGAGAAATGAGCGACCCTTTAGGCTAAGATTTCCCAACCTATGGGTCAGGACCCAAATATGGATCACCATTACATTTCAAAAGGATCGCCAGAAGTCTCCCCGGGTGGCTCTTAAGGAGCCATTCACACATTTTTTTCAATTGCCCTGGATCACCAAGTCTTCCTGAATTGTCAAAATGGGTCCCCATTTGGAAAAGGTTGGGAACCGCTGCTTTAGGCACTGATCATCCAGGTAGTGAAAGACTATGATGCCTATCAGGTGAAGACAGGCTGCTGACAGACGTTTGGTAAAAATCTTTGTGGTGGTAGAGAGAACGCAGTACAAGTAGTGGTCCTTGTCTTTCAGAAGTGTAGGAATAATTTGAGAGGCATAAATGGTGACAAGAAAATAAATATTCTAAAGGTTGAGGGGAAAAAACTCGATCTCCTAGATCCAAAGAGGGAATTCCTCTTAGGATCACCATTCTGAAGCACTGAGATTGGATGAAGGTGGTCCAAAATGGCTCCCCATCCGTCTCTGTTCTTTCAGATGAGCAAGTACCCAAGAATAGCTCCCTTTTCCGATGAAGTCTGGTGGGACAGATGCAGTCATCCCCAAGGCTGGGAGGGATTCTACCTCCTGCCTTAAGAAGCTTTTGTGAGAGGTTTTTCTGAAGAGGAACGGGGTAAGAAGAGTGGCATGGAGCTGAACTGAATAGAATAGCCTAGAGAAATTACTTTCAGGATCCATCTATCTGAGTTGATAGGTGCCCAGGAAGGTAGGGAATATGAGAGAGGATCACTATAATGTTGGGAAGGGAATAGATGCTATGTAGGATCAAGAGATAGTTCGTGACCCTCAACCATTAGATCAAACCAGACATTTTGAAGACACCACTGGCTGGAAGGTTACTGAGAAGGACCATTTCTTACAGAATTTGGGCTTCTTTCTGGGCAGTGCAGTCAGTGTTGTGGGTGAGACTGTTGAGCTGAGACTTGCTGCATTTTCTTTTTGTTACAAGTGTAAATGCTGAAGTTTTATAACTGTTAAAATATGAAGAGTCAACATTATGTGTCAAAATATGCAAATATGCTTAAAACAAATTATAGTAAGTCCTCAGGCAGCATTTTTCTTACTTTGCCTAGCTGTAAATTTAGATCATCATCAATAAAATATTTTTCATGGATTTGTATATGTAGTAAAATTGATGCTAACGGAGACTGTTAAATATCTAATCCTTCCAAGCCTCGTCATAATAGTGGTATAAGGAGAGGGGTAGAGGCCATCAAACCAGTGATCAGTGCCTCACACACTATAATGTACTGTATTTAGAAAGAACCTATTAAGTGTACAGGATGGTACTTTGCATTAAGTGCATATTAAGCACTTATCTTTTTCGGTCATGATTTTGGAGACCATAAAAACTTCCCTGCACCACACAGACAGTTTCTACTTAGAAGACTGAATTATCATGAATGCTGTAGGTTATGGGGGAGCATGGAAAACACAGTATTAATTCAAGTCACTGTGCCTTTCTAAAACACCATGGTGCATGTTAAGTCTTGAGCATCAGCCTAGATTAACAACTCGATAAGATCCTTTATTTCTTTTTGTGGCTTTAAATCAGACCTTTAACCTCTCTTTAACACCCCTTTCACTCTGAATTTGCAGTCAGAAGTTTTTGAAAACATTTCTTTACCAAACAATTGATCTTTGTCCTTCAACCTAACCTTGAAAATTTAAAGTCAAAGCCATTTTGCTAATCCATGTGATGAAAATAAGCATTGTAGGCAATGAGATAAGAACATACTTGGCTAGACCAGATTTCACAGCCTGTTATCATTTCCCTAAACCCTTCAGGGTACAGGAGGTGAGATTATAAAGTGACAGTTCACACAGCTGGGCTAAGGAGATGAAAATTCTGGGACCCAGAATTCAACCCTGGTGGAGTGAGAATGAATGGCTTGTGAAAAAGACCAAGATTATCTTTAGAAACAACATTCAGTGTGCTATTTGCACAAGCAGTATTTTAAGGGTTGGATTTTTGCAATCAATCAACTCTAAAGTGCCAAAAGCCTCTAAAATATCATCTGTTTTGCCTGCAGCTATCCACATGCATTAACTCTACAATCCAAGGAAAACATTTTTTGGGGAGGGATCACGAGTTTAAGAGAAATGATAAGAATTCAACAAAAATGGTTAGCATCTATATGAGAACAAACCACCATCATTCTGAAGACATATATTTGCAGGAAAAGGCTGCCTTAGGATCATGAAATTGTCTCCTATGTGCTTATAAAGATATTCTCATTCATTGAAAAAACAAAGCTATCAAGGCCTTTCAGACTTATGGCACTTCAAAGACTTCATTCCGGGAAAATGACAACCTCTAGTTTGAGATTTAAGACACAAGTCATTTAAAAGTAAATACAGTCCTCAGAGTTCAGGGTACACTGTATGTTATATAAATATATATATATATTTTGGATGGGGGGGTGGAAAGGTCAGAGGGATGTGAGGTGAAAAGAGAACCGGGAATAAAAATGTTTTTTATTATTAAGACAAATGCTTCTCACTGAAATGCCATTATACTATATCCAGAAGAATTTATGCTGACTATATATACCCATGCATGGTAGGACTAACCATAAACAAGGTACAGTAAAACTCCGATGGTCCGGCATCTGATGGTCCGGCACCATCAGGAACCCAGAAGTGCTCCAGGCAGCCGGACCATTGG